AGACTCTTCATGCTGTTTCCGCCAAATTCTCACTCCGCCATCTGCATGATGCAACTGGAAACGTGATTCATCAGACTGCATGACTTTTTGCAACTGGAAACACATCCAATTCTTGTGTTCCTGTGCAAACTGGAGACGTTTTATCTCGGTAACTGTAGACAGCAAAGGTGTTCGAACAGGCCTTCGGCTTCCATATCCCAGACGATGCAGTGTACGGCTAATTTGCCTACAAACGTCAGGTGGTCATAATAATCTGGCCACTCGGTGTATATATTGTGACAATGTCCACTTCCTGGTTTTGATAATGGACTGTAATTATATAAGATGTTAACAGTGGGAGAATCTGGGGAATGGGTACAGGGGGGCCTCTGTGTATTATTTTTGAAACTTCTTGGGAATCTGTAATTATTTGAAATTAAGAAGTAAAAAAACAAAAACACCTGTATATGCAATAACCATGTTAGGAGCTTATGTTTAAGAAAAAGCCTCCAGAACTCTAACCTTAGCTCTAATGCTAATCCTAACCCTATACTTAACCCTAACCCTATCCATATGCTTAATCCTAATCCTAACCCTGAAACTATCCTAAACCCTAACCTTAACCGTATCCTTAACCCTTACCATAGAACCTAACCCTATCCATAACCCAACCCTAACTCTAGCCTTAACCCTATGCTAACACTATCTAACCCTATCCTTAACCTTAACCCTAAACATAACCCTACCCTTAACCTAACCATAACCCTAACCACACCCTAATCCATAATCCTAACCCTCTCCTTAACCCTAACAAAAAAAAGAAAAAAAGAAAAAGGCTCCATAGATCCTAAAACTTTAAGTTATATGGTGAAACTAAAAACTAAGACTAGCTGAGTACATGTTTTGATTCTTGAATCAGGAGGCAGATGGAGTAGCTCTGACAGATGGAGTAGCTCTCCTCTCTCCAGCTATGAACCCTCTGGAAGGGTCTGTGGGCCTCTCTTCTGGACCAGGACCCCTCAGAGTGAAGAAACAGCCTCTGGAACACAGTGAAGACGTAAACCAGATGAAACTCCCATGAGCACGTGGGCCTTGGTAAAAAGACGACAGGCAATGTGTTCCGATTACTGCAGCCTGGGAAGACTTTCATATTTCCCCAAATTTGGGGTTGACTTACAAGAGTCCCCGTGACCACAGCTCTGCGTCCTTCCACGCCGTCCTTACTGAGCCACCCCGTGGGTTCGCAGGGCATTGTCTCCTCCGCCGGGTCCCACGCTGACGGGAAAGAGGCTCTGAGAATTGAAGGGAGGCCTCCAGGCAGGACATGAGGTTAGGACTGGAGCCTGCTTCCTAACTTGGCTTTGTTACTAGATAATGCCTGCCTCCTCAGGGGACTCAATGGCACACCAAGTGGCAGATGACAGACAGCTGTCTCCCCACTGGGACTGTCCGCACAGCAGCTATGTGCGTCGGATGAGGCCGAGTTATGTTGTGAGAATGCTTTAGAGTGCACTTTGCTGTGTGCGGGCGGAGGACCGAGCAGGCAGATAGGGCTATGGACAGGGCTCTGGTCACATGGCGTTATGGAGCTATGGTCACATGGCGTTAGCATGGGCAGGAAATAACAGGAAAGCGTAGGTTGTCTTAAAATCAGGAAATCCCAAAGTTAAGAGGGAAGCAGGTTTTGAACTGATCTTCTTAGATGAATTAAAAATTAGACTATAAACTGCCTGACCAGCATGGCTCAGTGGTTGGGCATCGACCTATGAACCAGGAGGTCATGGTTCAATTCCTGGTCACGGCATATGCCCAGGTTGTAGGCTCAATCCCATGTGAGATGGGCAGGAGTCAGCCAATTAATGAGTCTCTTTCATCAATGACGTTTCTGTCTCTCTCCCTCTCTGAAATAAGTATGTATTTTTAAAAATCCTATATAATGAAAGGCTAATATGCTAATAGATCAAATAGCAGAATGACAGGTCGCTATGACATGCACTGACCACCAGGGGACAGACCAGCCGTGGGCAAACTACGGCCCGTGGGCCTCATCCGGCCCGTTTGAAATGAATAAAACGAAAAAAAAAAAAAGGACCGTACCCTTTTATGTAATGATGTTTACTTTGAATTTATATTAGTTCACACAAACACTCCATCCATGCTTTTGTTCCGGCCCTCCGGTCCAGTTTAAGAACCTATTGTGGCCCTCGAGTCAAAAAGTTTGCCCACCCCTGGGACAGACACTCAATGCAGGAGCTGCCCCCTGGTGGTCAGTGCACTCCCACAGAGGGAGTGCCACTCAGCCAGAAGCCGGGCTCAGGCTGGTGGTGGAGCCTCTCCCGCCTCTGCAGCAGCTAAGGATGTCTGCCCGATGGCTCAGGGAGCGGGCCTAAGCCAGCAGTCAGACATCCCCTGAGGGCTCCTGGACTGCGAGAGGGTGCAGGCTGGGCTGAGGGAACACCCCCCCAACCCCCTGCACTGCTCCGAGTGCCCAAATTTTGTGCACTGGGCCTCTAGTTACACTATAACTATCTTTATAGTGTCCACCACAATACAAAGAAAAGGCAGCGGAGAAGGGCAAAAAGCAAAAAAATATGAGACACAGGTCAAGTAATGGAAAGAGGCACTTGGACATCCATGGGGCCAGTCTGCACTGCTGGCGGGTGGGGGTGCGGGGTTCGCATAGCCTGGGTCTGGCCTGTGTCCCACCTGAGGTCGTAAGTGTGTAGGCAAGAGACATCATTAACAGTATCATAAATAAGTATTGTAACTTTATTAAAATGAAAAGACAATATTCAAAATAATGCAACAAAAATGAATAAAATCCTTTGTCCAATACTGTACACATAATGCAGAAATCAGTGCATTTTCCTAAAGCATGTTTTAACCTTCATTTAGTTCAGACTAACACATCCGCTTTACATAGCTCAGTCAGTCAGCAGCGGAACTGTAAACAGCTGGTTTAACTGGCGAGAACGTCGCGGTAACGCACCTCTGGGAGCACCTCTCGCTGGGCCGAACTGTGCGGGGGACGCGCGGAGGCTGGGCAGGCAGTGTGCGCGCAGGCGTGGGCCTGGGAGCAGACGGTGCTGATGTGACTCTCGTATTAAGACACAGTTGCTCTTGGTCAGAAGGCTTTACTTCAAAAGCCAACAATCCCCAGGAAAATACTGAGTAGGAACCAGCAACACAAGGCCAGCTTGTGTTGGATTTATTAAGTCTAAAACCCCCCAAACACACATCCCCACAGTCACTCTCAGGCACGTGTGCA